AAACTAATTTATAATGCAATTATAAGAAGTCGATTAGATTATGCCTCATTTCTACTTGAACCCGCTAGTAAAAAAGTTAGATATTAAAAATATTAGATATCATTCAACACAAGTCTTTAAGATTAATTATAGGCGCTATGAATTCGTCGCCTATCAATGCCTTGCAGATTGAATGCGGTGATCCTCCACTTTTTATTAGACGACAATATTTATCGGATTCCTTTTTTATCGGGTTCTTCAATTTTCAAACCATCCATTACTCCCTAAAATTCGTTTGCTTTCTCAGTACATTTCAATTAATTAAGGAAAATACTGGCGTAATAAAGAAACACCTAACCTAGTTAAAAGCTATGAACATTATAATTCCTTACTAGATCCTATTTATAGGTCGGCGACTCTACCTCTTTTCTCCAATTCGTTTGAAGTTGCACTTTTCAAACCTAATGTTATATTAGATATAGGATTAAATAAATTTTCTATTGAACCAAATAAAAAATTTGTATTTACGTTGGACAAGAATTTCCCAGATTGTCATTATATTTTTACAGATGCTTCTAAGATTAACTCAAAAGGTTGTACTGGATATGCAATATACCATCAAAATTGGAGAATAGTTCAAAAAATGAAAAGTCCTCCCGAATCTTCAGTTTCTACTGGAGAAATGTTAGCCATTTTATAATCAATAAGATATTGCTATCTTTTTTAAATTAAAATCAAGCGTGATATTTTCAGATTCTCTTAGTTCTTTACAAGCATTGTTATGTAATCCTTTCTATGACATTTCCCGCAATCCTTTGATATTTGAAATTAAGAAACTTTTATTCTTATACCAATTCCAAAACATCAACATTTCTCTCGTTTGGATTCCGAGTCATATTGGTATATCTGGTAATGAATATGTTGACAAACTTGCTAAACAAGCTATAGTCTGTGGGGATACTTTCTTATTTAAAAATTATTGCTATGACCTTATAAGAACTACGAAATTAGTATATAGAGATAGATGGTTAAAACATTGGAACAAAACCAAAACGACAAAAGGCTGTCACTATGCCAAAATTCAACCCATCATTCCTTCTAAGCCTTGGTTTTACAAATTATCCTTAAATAAGAAACATATTAGATCAATATTATGTAGAATGCGCTTGGGTCACTGCTGTAATTCGGTTCACCTTGCTAGGCTTCATATAAAAAATTCTTCAATATGTGAATGTGGTTTGGATATTGTGACCTCAACCATATTTTCTTCTCATGCCCTTTATAAGATCATACTTCATTATTTAACACTTTGGTAAGTCTTAAAATTCCTCTTCCTACAGAAATTTGTTCTCTTTTAATTTTTTCTAAAAAAAGTAAAAATGTTTTCAATTGCCTTATGGAATTTTCAGATTTAAATAATATTAGGTTATAAAATTTTATTCATTATTTAGCAATCAATCGTCTTTATTTAGTAATACTTATTATTTTAAATGTGGTATTGAGTTTAGTATTATTTTAATTCAACCTAACATCCATCATTTATTTAATATACTTCAGTACAAGTCATTTCATGATTCATTATTATAGTATTCTATGGTTCTTATCATTATGATTTCGGTTTTTATTCAGAATCGTAGTTTTTCTTTAGATTGACCGTCGTTTCATTTCAAGTTACAAGTATTTTTACTGACTGGAGGTTGGCAGTAATTTTTAGGTTGCCATATTTAAACAAAAGAAGAAGACGGAGATAGCAATGACAGATTCATCTACGAAGATAACTAGAGATGGGCTTAAACGTTAAAAAATAATAACACTGCTAAATGCTAATGCTAGAAATAATTAACAGTTAAAATTAGCAGTTATTTTTAGCAACTGTTAAATTTAGTCACTTTTAATTCTCATTTCCTTCATACTTTTCACAGGCTTAGGACTGTCAACTTTTTCTGTTGGCGTATTTATAATGAGAATCAATTTATTTACAACGATTTCTTTTTTCATATCTGCTTTTTTAGTATTCGTAATTTTTATATAATTATCTTTTTTTTTGTATTTTTGTTATCTTTTGCTTTTTTTTATATCTACTTATCACTTAGTAACATAACATATCTTAAAATTTTATATATTTTTTATTTCCATTTAAAAATGATAATTGTTAATGACAAATTACACGTACCAATTTTTTTTACGGTATCGCTATCCGTAAAAACGTTCCATATTTCACCTTTTTTTTGGCGTTGTATATCCATTTTAGTTGTTTTCTTCCAATTTGTAAGTATTCTGTTGCAAACGCAAACAACACTACACAAACAGTCAAACAATTGGAATTTTCACTCACAACACTAACTACCTACCTACTACCTAGATAACAAACTCGCGTAAACCTTCGTAACGAAAATCAGTCTTTATTTAACACTAGTTAAATATTATAATAAATTATTTCCAAATTCAGCAGTTAGCACTTAGCAGTTAATTAAATGAACTCGCTCGACCTTAACATTCTAACTGTGACTGAACACTAAATACTAGACGTGGGCATTATTTCACGTCACTAGTTACAGTAACTGGCTACGCGGCATGTAACCGAATTACTAGTTTCGAGTCATATCACAAGTAGTGATTTTTGTAAATGCGTTACTTATTACTGTTAACTGTGATTGTTGCGATAGTCGACTGTCGGTCGGCAAAGCGCACATGTGGCATACAACAATAAAAAACAGGGTACGTAACTGTATTATTGTACGTTTAATTTTCATACGTAAGAATATAGATATAGACAAAAAATAGAGTGATCTCTGTTTGTAAATAATTTCAACAGTTTGCGATTCCGAGAAGCGAGAGTCCCATTGAATTTACACCGAAGCGCTTGATACAGAAAGTACCAACTAGGTGGAACTCTACGTTTGCTATGTTACAGCGATTTGTGGAACTAGAAAATCAAATATGTGCCACTGTTGCAGTTCTTAAAAAAGATTTACCGATCATAACTGTCGAGGAATGGACAATATTTCACGAACTGTGCAAGATTTTAAAACCTTTCGACGAAGCTACGAAAGCCATGAGTGGTGAAGTTTATATGACAGCTAGTACTATCATAGTCATGACACGCTGTCTTAGAGAATCTTGTGACCAACTGCTCCTGGAAGGGTTTACTGTTACAACAAATAGTGTAATTACAGCACTTCGAACAGGCTTAGATAAGAGACTAGAAGGTGTTGAGAGAAGTGGCACATTCTCGATATGTACTATTTTAGACCCAAGGTACAAAATTAATGTGTTCTCTGACACAAATGAGGCAGCAAAAGCAAAGAAAATGCTAGAAGAAATACTTGCTACTGATATTAGACGGCGACGAAATGGAGAGAACCAACCGCAACAATCCACTTCAACCTCAGCTTCCATACCGGTACGAGATAAATTTTCACCTTGGTCCATTTTAAGCAATATTGTCGGGACGCAGCAGCAATATTTCAAATGTGTATAATATTATAAGTTATAAAACTTAAAAACTGTGTGTAAATAGCGAAACAAAATATATATAAATAAAAGTGCAAAAACAAATGATAGTGAAAACGTTGAAAAAGTGTAAATAAACTGTAAATCATCATCATTGAGATCATTGTATATACAAATAAATTGACTTCTAAATACGCCTGCATTAATAACTTTATGCAAATCTCAGTTTTATAGTAAACACAAATCAATCATAAATACATTTAATGCAGTCAGTCCTAAGCCTGAATAAAGTATGAAGGGAAGTTAATTTATTGATTTAACTGTATAGCTACAAGCACTTAGATAGTCATTAAATTTATTTTCGTTTCGTATGTAACTGTATAGTTTCGTTTCGTATGTAACTGTATAGTTGGTGGTGGTATATATACAAACAATCACAGTAGCCGAATAAAATAGCCACTTACAAAAATCACTATGTAACTGTATACAGTGGCGGCTCATATTATTAGAGCCATCTACTTAAATAATCGATTTGGCATTTTAATCAGTATATATTGCATTCAAACTATGTCTGCTAAGTTTATATTTTGATCTGTGAGATAGATCTGTGTAGATTATGAATTTTTAACTGGCAACACTAAAGAGTGGATAATCTGTCACATGGTCGCCATTTTGTTGTAACACAGTCAGTCGACGCTTAACAGTTTCGTTGTCCGGGTGAGTATTTTGGAGATTATTTATGCATTTTTATCAATTTTTTTGTAGTGTTGGTGTGTTTTAACAATGTTTGTCCATATGCAGCTTGCTTAAATATGTTTGTTGCTAAAAGAAATCATTTTCACATAAATTTTGTTATTTTATTTGCAGGATATATTTTAATCATGGGAAAAGCTAAAGATCTGTCTCCAAGGAAAATTTCCGAAATTAAAACTTTATTATTGCATACTGGGCATTCCCAAAGAAAGATTGCATCGATTGCTAATGTTTCGAGGGCATCAGTTGACCGAATAAAAAAAAACTTGACACAAATGTGGACCTGACGCCGAAACGTGCAAAAATTGTGGACGAAAGAAAATTACCACGCCACGTGATGAAAGAAAAATCAGGGATATCTGTGTTGAAAACAGGAAGACACCTCGGAAGATTCTTACGAAGAAGGTACAGGACGCTGGAATCAACATTTCCCTAGCAACAGTTCGTCGACGCATGAAAGACTTGGGGTTCATTTGTCGTCGACCGGCGAAAAAACCTCTTCTTACACAGGCTATGATGTCAAAGCGTTTACAATAGGCAAAAGAACACCAGAACTGGACTGCTGAAGACTGGAATAAGGTAGGTGAATAATTCTTGAAGCTGCTGGAAGTAAAAAGCTAGATCCACATTAATTTAAATTAAATTTAAATTTTGATTTCTGTACACTAAAATAATAATAAATATTTCAGGTTTGTTTTTCTGATGAATCGTCAGTGCAAATTTTGTCGGACAAAGCTGTATTTGTAAGAAGAAGGAAGGGTGAGAAATTCAAAGAAGATTGCATAATCAAGCGAGTGAAGCACCCATTCAGCATCATGGTATGGTCCATAATAAGCAGCAAAGGCATTGGTCGTCTATACATTGTGGAGGGAACGATGCGGCAGGATCAATATATCCAGGTCCTTGAGACAAAAATGCTGCCCCAGGTCCAGGAGTGGTTTCCGAACGGCGAATTTACGTTCATGCATGACTCTGCTCCTTGCCACAAAGCAAAAAAGGTCACGAAATTTTTAAATGCCCAGAAAGTAAAAGTTCTTGACTGGCCTGGGAATTCGCCGGACCTCAATCCCATAGAGAACCTCTGGGAGTTGATGAAACGAGAAATTTCCAGAGAACTCATCACTAATAAACGCCAACTGATCGAGCGTTTGATAGATGTTTGGCACCGGAGTGAATCAATTAAGATAAACTGCTCAAAATGTATCGAAAGTATGCCCAGGAGAATTCAGGCGGTTATAGAAGCAAAAGGCGGTGTCACTAAATATTGATTTAATTTATATTTTTATATTTATTGCACTTATTAACTACGTAAGTTCCGTTTTCTTAAATGTATTAATAAAGCAATATACTTAATAAAATATATTCTAAACAAAAAACCTTCACATCCTGATTTTATTTCTACCTAAACTAAAATTAATCTACTTTTTTACTGTGGCTCTATTAATATGAGCCCCAACTGTAGTTTCGTTTCGTGTGTAACTGTATAGTTGGTGGTGGTATATATACAAACAATCACAGTAGCCGAATAAAATAGTCAGTTACAAAAATCACTAGTTTTGAAACAGGTGACGCCGACAAAGTCACTGGTTTCGTTACGTTTCTTGAAAATGACGTAACGACCCACATCTAATAAATACAAAATTAGTAGTTGCTAAATAAATCGCTATGTTGAAAACAACTCTATAGAGACGGAAACGGAACATGTGCGTCGTGTGTCCTTTTTTTTACGTTAGTACCTACTCTTATTAGTTTGTGTTTTATTTGTTGTTGCCGTCGCGTCTGTCTGCGGTCTGCAGTAGTGGGATAAAGCGAGACAAATATATATCCGGCGTCCGTGTTTGGTGGGGGATCGCCCATTTTCGGCCATTGAACGCCCAACAATGTGCATTTGTTAAAAAAATATATCTTTATTTATGATTAATAATCGCGGTATTCATTTATGGGAATATTTTCGCACAAATTAAAAGTACCGAAAAGATAAGATTAATATTAGGTAAATCATTAATTAATATCACAAATCTCATTAAAAAAAATCGATTCCCCTTTTCCATCGATTACTTATGGTGTCATTATTACAATGCTTATATAATTTTTCGATAATTATTACGATGTTATGATATAGGTTTAAAATAACCGTTGACAATGCATATTTATCCAAAGCAGCCGATACGCAACCGTTATTAACCAGTTGTTTATCCGACTACAGACGAAAAAGGATTGTTATGTTTTTACTGTGTGTGCGGGTTAGGCTATGTTGAATCGTTTTTTGCTATGGTGCTTAAAAACGTAGGATACATTTTATTATTGAGGGCGCTACTATCAAAGAATATTTTTTTCGCTAAACTCGTAAAGTACTTGACCAACTTTGAGAATTCTTTCACCACTAGATTGTTATGAGACTGAGCCGTGGTAGCTGTGGTTAAAGCTCGTGTAAATAACAGAACGCGAGTGACCTGGGTTCGATCCCCGCCGGCCGACCAATGAAATTGTTAATTGCAATTTTAAGTGCTGATTTACCACGTGCTCGGCGGTGAAGGAAAACATCGTGAGGAAACCTGCATGTCTGAGGAATAAGAGAAAAAAAATTATTCGAAGACATGTGAAGTTCGTCAACACGCATTTGGGCAGCGCGGCGGACACTTCCTTGCCCTAAACCCTCTCAGAAATGAGGCGAGGCCTGAGCCCAGCAGTGGGACGTATATAGGCTGCAACTTTATTTTACTTTTACATTGCTAATGAGGGCGTTAGCTGTGTGATACATTTATGTTATTACAATAATTAATTGTGAGATTAATATTTTCTAAATTAATAAAACTAAATACCTACCCAAGATGTTCAAATCCAATTATTATTTTTACAATTTAAGAATCGTATTTACACACTTTACTTACTCAGATTGATTATTATAGATAAAGAGGTAATAAATCTAAAGTAAAAGAGCTCCGCTTAAACGAAAAAACTATTTATTAAAATAAAACTAAAAGTTGAAAAAAAGTGGTTCAGTGCGAGTCGGACTCGCAAGCCCATGAAGAGTTCTGTAGTAACAAGCATATATTTTAAATCGAGTCAAAATACCACTATCATTATCGCCAGCAACAAATTATTTTGTTTTTCATAGGGTTTGTATAAATAACAAAGTTGTTTTTGCGGTTCTTTAAAATGTGCTACTTGTGTCTAAAAAAAAGGACTATTATACATTATAGGGGTTTCTGTGGTTTATTCATTACCAAAGAGAAATAACTTATTGCACAAAATGGGTTTTTATCCATTTCAAGTCATCAAAATAAAAACTAAAACAACCGTTGTTATAGGCTCGGTTGAATTCATTGACAACCTTCACATTTATAGTTATGATAATTAAACAAGCGAATTACTAGCTGATTTACCAAGAATTCTTTAGAGTATAACAAAACGTTACTGCACAAGTTAACTGTTATTCTTATCTGTTCTTAACATAACATTTAAAATGGAATCATGTTATGATAATTCAAGAAGTTAATTTCTAGCTGATTTACCACGAGTTCTCTAAAGCATAACAATTTTTTTTAACATACAGCACAAGCTAACTGTTCCTAAAAATACATTTGAAATAGAATTTCAATAAATAAAGGAAATTATATTTTAAGAAGCGTGCAGAACTTAAAACGCGTCAAAGATTATTCTTTTCATGATATTATTAATCGAATAAAAATCGATATCGTTTCATAGGTTTTATGACAGTTAAGTGGCAACATCGAATCTGACATGTAGGCCCCTGTCACTGTTATGTCACAAGAATTTAATTGCGTGTTATCGTGTTATTTTGTTTTGTTGGAAAATGCAATTGTTGATCTCTCAACAATTGGTTCGAACACAGCAGGTAAATAGTTGGTACATATAACGAAGTGGCATGTTTTCCTCTAAGAAATGCTTTATAACTGAGTTTACTTGAATAATATCAATATAATAATTGTAGCTTCTTTATTAGGTACAAGTTTCGAGTACAGTGAACGTGTAGTGTGCCACTCGCAAAATGCACCAATAGTTCGTCTTGAACATGTATACATCAGCTGTGGCACTGACACTTATAAGAATAAGATCACACACATTGTTTGGGTTCGATTCTCCACGTGAGGAACAATTTGTGCCACGTGAGTTAAGATAAGGTAAGATGTTTAGCACTTTTCAATTTATTAAATGTGATCCTCATATCTGATAATTATACTTGTTTTTACACTGATTGTATATCAACTCAAGAACTTGTTTTATTTTTTCACATCTGCACTAGCTATATCTGACAAACATACTAGCTTATTTATGAGATTGACCATTTTATCCGTTCACTATCAACTACCAAGAAAGGAGACAGTTGATTTTTCATTGTTTTTGGACTGCTGGTAGTCTGTCAGGCCTTAATTGTTAAATAATATAGGGCATTAAATCCGCCCTTGTCCAGTAACATTTAACTTGATAAATATTTTATTTATATTTGAGTTTGAAATAAACAAATCTATTTTATTTTTTTACTTTGACTTCATTTTTTGTATTTTACATTATTTCAGTTGCCGTTGGCCATATATATAATTGCTGGCAATGAACTGATAGAACAGCATCACATTCAACTGCAGAATGGGAACCATCTGAATCATCTAGTCCATCCTTGTTGCAATCTGAAGTGAGTAATGTATTGCACCCAGAACAACAAAGCTTAGATCATATATCACACAGTGTACTGCTAACTAATTATTTAAAAGCACAATGTTTTTTACCTGGTTGTAACAGTTCCATCAGCATTGCGACTATGTCTCTTTTGTGATTAACTACATTTTGCGATAACAAACATACATAGTGACAATTACTATGTATGTGTGTTATACGTGGTAGAGCCATGCTACACTTATATTAGAAGTATAGTTGTAGCATGAATGGGTCGGCACGACCGGGGAAGGACCACACTCTCACAGAATACCAGCGTGAAATAGTAGCTTAATGCTGCTGTGTTTTGTATGGTGAGTGTAGAGAACCGGAGACGCTTTTTATTGGAAACGAGAAAATGATCTTAGTCCTCACGGGTGACAACGCATCTGCATTTTGATTTGTAATCGAGGATAGATGTGGATGTCTAAGGGTCGCAGGAATGTCTCCAGCAGATGGTGAATCTCAGTTAATGACAAGATATGCTATAAATCCAGAGCTGTGACTATGTGTCGATATGGGTAGTAGAGGTGGTAAATGACATTTTAAAAACTGAATTTAAAATATTTCATCAAAATTACTTTAACAGGGCTTCTACACATTTGATGATAGACTGCTGTGGCTGCTGCTATAATTAGTAAATTCCACACAAAAATAAGGGACAGGGATGATGCGGCTCAAATACTTGAGATCGTTCACCAAAATATGGAGACAAATAATGATTTGTCTGAGTATGCTAGGGAAAACAATCTAAATAGAGCTAGGGCAAGCAGACTTTAGAAATATAAATGTAGACTTTAAAATGTTAGGGAATTTCCTGTTTTAACTTAAAGCAACTTAATATGCTTGTGTCACATACCAATTAAAGCAAGCTCGCTACTATTATGGTGAGCATATAAGATTTAATGGTTGCTACCGGATAGAACTCTGTGATAACCAGAGGAGCAGCATTATGGAAGGAATAAACTTAAGCCCTAGCTGGTCTTTACTTAGGGCTAGAATTGCAAGTCATCACCATTAGTCGTAAAGTGTATTTTATATATATTTTAATTAGTGGCAATGGTTCTGGTAGAAGTGCAATTGTACTGTCGCGTCAACTGTTGGATGCTGTGCCCATGTTATGACAGTAATATGGTATTTGGGTTGGCACGGCATCAGACTAATATTTTGCTTCCTGCTCAGTTCCTGAATGATGTATTGATGTGTAAATTAGAGGCAAATAATTCCTTAGCTTTCCTAGATGCGTTAGTCATCCAAAATTCTAACAACACCATAGGTCACACTGTGTATAGAAAACAATGAATCTCACCATCATCCTTCACAGTTAGTTACCGTGAGCAAATCTTTGTTACAGAGAGCACAAGGGATCTGTGGCAGCAAACATCTGGCTGTCGAGCTTCAGCACGTCAAGCAGGTTCTGCACGTCAACAAGCTTCGGGCCCGCGCTTACGTCACAGTGACCGAGTGAAGCCGGCCATAGTCAAGCATGTGCAGTACTAGCATTTGTCAGGGGTGTCATAGACAAGATTGGCTACATCTTGAAGCGTGAAGTCACTGACGTGAAGCATCAAAGTTCAGGGAAATTTGCAGTTTG